TAGTCATCTTGAGTTTGGAATTGCTTTTCAGCTCATAAAACTTGGTCACAAAATTCTTTTCGTCAAGAATTGGAAGCCGAAGAWAGGCTGGGAAACATAGCCCATAATTTGATGTTGTTCCTGACAGATTTCTTTAAACATGGAAAAATTACAAAATAGTCATTAATAGTTCTCTATAAAGCTTGTGAAAAGCTAGGGTGGAATTGGGACCTGGGAAGGCCAAACACAGAACTGATGAAGAAGGAAAGTAGCTGCATTTAAGATGGCTTGGCTAGTGAGATTTTAAGCCAAACTCTTATTTTGTTTTTTGTTATATAAGTAATAACTGTGTAGCCTGTTTATTAAATGAACTGAGCTCAGTGGGAACAAACATGGGTAGCTTTAAGGTTCTCTCGCTCTTTCCCTTCCTTCCTTCCTCCTTTTTTCCATTCATCTGTCCTTCCATCCTTCCTCCCTTCTCTTTGGGCTATCTCTTTCCTGTCCCTTGACTCTAGTTTGGGAATATTCCTGAATTTTCTAGTCTTTTTAGCTCATTCCAGTCCAATATGAAACTACAATTTCTCATCCAGGCCTGACCCCAAGACAGTGTCTGTATAATGTTTCCATTGCTAACTAGAATTTGGTGGTTTTTATTTTTACTCTTCAGTTTTTATTTAACTACTTTATTGAGGTAGGATGGATGTACAATTTGACATACAAAAACTGTACATAATTAATATACAATATAACTTGATGAACACACAATACAACCATGAATCCATTATAGTCAAGATCATAAACACAGATATCATCACCTCCAAAAGTTGTTTCCCTTCCCTTTTTTTTCTTTTGTGGTAAAAGCTTTTAATATAATTAAATATATTATATATATAAAATATAATTTTAATATAGTTAATATATTATATATAATAGCCAATTTTGAAATATATAATAGCATAGTATTGCTAACTGCAGCCACTGTTCTGTACATTAGATTTCTGGAAGTGAATCATCTTTCATGAGTGAAGCTTTGTGCCCTTGGCCCAACACCCCTCCTCTCCCTGAATTCAGGAATTCCTTTTTTTTTTTTTTTTTTGTGGCACTCTCTCATTTTGCTAAAACACATCTTCTAGAAGCTTCCTAAGAAAGTGTTCATGGGAGGTAAAGATTTCAAGTCTTTGAATATCCAATCATGTCTCCATGCTACAACCACACTTGACTGATATTTTACCAGGCTATAAATCCTACCTACATTAAAAATAACTTCTCCAGAATTTTGAAGGCATTTTTCTTCTGCCTCTAGAACTGTAGGTGAAAAACCCAGTGCTACTGTGGTTTCTGTCTTTTGTCTATGGTTGATTTTCTTTTTCTGGCCATTTTTAGATTCTTTCTGTATTTATGGACTTAATATCTCACAATCATATAGCTTATTTGGGTTATTTTTAATTCATTGTGCTGGGAATTCAGTAAGGATTTTCAGTTTGAAGACCAATATTATATCTCAGATAATTTCATACCTCCATTTTCTTTTTAAAAATTTTTTAAAATATTTATTTTTAGTTATAGATGGACACAATATCCTTATTTTGTTTTTACGTGGTGCTGAGGATTGAACCCAGTGCCTCATGCATGGTAGACAAGCTCTCTACCTCTGAGCCATAACCCCATCCCCACCTCCATTTTCTTTAAAAATCAATTTTAGAACTTTATTCTAAATGTTAGACCTCTGAGATTGAGCCTAACTTTCTTATCTTTTTATTCCTGACTTTCATCTTTCTTTTTCTAAGATATTATTTCTAATTTATCCTACAACCCTCTACTGGATTCCAAAATATAACATATACTATTTTTTGCTTCTGGAGAGCTCTTTTTCTGATTTGCATAGCATTCTCTTCTTGTTTTGTGCATGTAATATCTGATCTTATTTCTTTGAAGATGTTAATCAGTTTTTTTTAGCAGAGATTTTTTTTTCTGAACTTGTAGATTTTATGTTTCCTCCAAGCTTTTATCTTTTTTTAGATTATCCCCCCCCCACCCGCTCCTCTTGTTTATAGCAGGTTTCCTCAAGTAGCTGTTGAACTTTGGGTATGCATTCATATCTAAGTGCAGTACTCTGAGAGGCYGGTTGGAAGAGCTGGTAGAGGTAGCACTTTCTGATTCGTGAACTTCACTATTGGATGAAGAGTTGCAGCAGTGAATAGTTTCCAAATGTCACTGTGAGGATATCTTTCATGTAGAGCCATTTGTTTTCTTTAGGAAATAATCGTTCAGTCTCTTTTCAGAAGTAGTGGGAAGAAGACAGARGACCCCAGATTTCCACTTAAACCACTTCTTCACCTTGTGTTTTGGGGCTTGCACCCTCTATGTACTATCCACTTTCTATCAAGAATAAATCTTTCCTGCAAGGAACAGGTTAGGGTGGTTGACTGACTTCCATGGAGAGGAGTAGGACCCTGCCCAGACTTCCAGCTAATTTCCAGCTAGTGTCCATGTGCTTCCTACCTTCTTCCTAATTTGTTTTCAGTTTATTATCCACGTTTTTTGTCTTCCTAAAATATTTTGAAATCTTTCCTCTGCTTCCATCTCCTCCTGTGTTCTTGTAGGTTAGTAAATTTGGTTCTTTTTTTTACTGTTATGTTAGTAAAAATTTGTTAAGGAAAAAAGACAGATATGTGTGATCAATCTGTCAGGTTGAACTGGAAGTYTAGCTGAATAATTTTACTCTGTAATGGGCAAATCTTCTTAATGCACTCCCAGATGTGATAAAAATCTGGATATCTTTAAGTAATCCTAGGAAATAAAGAATTAATTAGTATCATATTTTATGAATTCTGAAACAGAACTGTGTGAATCTAGGAAATCAAAAGCATCACCCTTTTCTCCAGCTAACACTTTTGGAATATAAGCACTCTTGCCACTTAAGTATATTCCACATCAAGATGGCATAGCTTTAAATAAAAACATTTTAAAATTAAAAACTAGGATTCTATTTTTGACTGCATATGCCATGTGACTTTCCTGAGCACATGYAATTCAGGGTTTTTGTGATTTATTTTTAGAGGAGAACACTAAAGAATGGAACAACCACAGCTTGTTACTTTGGAACAATTCACACTGACTCATCTCTGCTCCTTGCGGAAATTACAGGTGAGTAGATGAAAGCAGAATTTATGGGCACATCAAGAGAAGACAGCCAGGCCATGCCTAGCAACAACGTATGCTTGGTGGCAGTCCTGCCTTTTAATTGCTAGAATTTGAGCATTGCATTGTTCTGAAGATAATTAAGTGTCTGTATAACCTTGGCCCTTGAATGGTGTTTTAATTATTTAAATAATTTTATTATTTTCTTATGCCTTCTGGTTCTAGAATAATGTTTATGGATCTCAATTTTGTGTATTAATTTGGGCTTTTCTAAGGGCAGTTTATTAACTTGAGCTGTAGCAACAGTTATTACGTCATAATCAACAGGCTTTTTAAGAGAGATTAATCTAATGGCCAGGTATTAAAATAAATTACAGGGAAAAGAGAGAGACAGAAAGATTTTTGAAAGACTCCTATGATAGTAATAGAGACATTGTAAAAACAATTGTCCCTGTAGCTTCAACATTATAGTTGAAACAGAATGCTTCTTCTAGCACCTCTGATGAGGACTAGGTTCTTCAGTACAGCCTTGCTAGTAGCATTAGCTAAAAGACAATAATACTGGCATGGCTACAGTTAAGAAGAACAGCAATATGGCCACTGAGTTCCATATGCCAGTCACCTGATGCATGTTATTGTGTACATTTCTTAAAATCCTGCACATAGCTGGGTGCAGTGGGTCACATCTGAAATTCCAGTGAAACTTACAATCCTCCTGCCTCAATCTGCCAAAACCCTAGCACTCAAGTTTTTATCACTATACTGTACTGTGTATTACCTAGAAGAGGATCATAATATATATAGAGAGAGAGACTCAATCCTGAGGATGGTGATACAGTAGGAGATAGGAGGCAGACTGTGAGTAGATGAAAAAGAAGAAAGAGAAAGAAGAAATGGAGAGTAGGCATTTTAAAGAGTATTGGAATGTTTCTCTGGGATATGAGGCTGTTTCCTCCTTTGAGATAAAATGAGAGCAAAGAAGCTATGTCATTAGTAAAAATGTAGACAAAGTGTACATGCAAAAATAAAAGCTGAGTAAGAAGTACGAAACACCCAACTATTACCTGGGCAGTCTGGGAGTGGGGATGTGGAATGAAAGGAAGAAACTTTACTACTGACGGAATATGGTAAGTGCTGTTGTTCTTAAGTGGCCTGATGACTGATGATCCTTTACATTCTGAGTGGTGTTTGTCAGACTGATTTTAATTTACATGTGTTTTTTAAAAACTCAGAAAACGTACTCTTTGAAAAAGAAACATGCCTTCAGATTCTTTTCATGTGTGTTTCACAGATAAATTTGGGCAGCGGGCATTTGTGGGCAAAGTATGCATGGATTTGAATGATGTTGTTCCAGAATACAAGGAGACCACAGAGGAATCAATCAAGGAAACAGAGAGGTAACACATCCATTTGTCTTGATTTGTCTTTTGGATGAGTCCTCTGCTGCACTGATGGAGTTCAAGATGGAGAGAAGAAACCAGACACTTTAAGGACCCAGTTGGGATCTGTGTGATCCCAGTTGGGGTCAGAATGTTCTGCTTAATGCAGTGTCCACAGCTAGCCCACAGTGAACCTGCTCAATTATTTAGTAATTCTTAATGATTTATAAAGAGCATTCCTCTGAAGTGCTACACTGTTCCCCATAGAAATCTCCACGAGGCGTCTGTCTTAGGTCAACTGAGTGTGGCGCAGACTGAGTGACTTGCCCACACTCACTGCATCAGTCAACCTCCCAATAGTATAWTGAAATGCCAGGGATGATAAACTTTAAAAAGAAAAAGGTTTATCTGGGCTCAGTTTCTGGAGGTTCCAGTATCTGATGGAGTGGCTCCATGTCTTTGGGACTCTCATGAGGCAGCACATCCTGGCAGGGGTACGTGATGGAGAAAGTCACTTACCTCATGAGCCCAGGAAGTAGAACCAGAAAGAGAAGACTGGTCGTAGTTCCACAATCCCTGCTCAGGGGCATGTCCCCAATGACCTGAGGACCTTCCTTTGGGTCCAACCACCTCATGGTTCCACCATTTCCCAACATTGCCACCCTGGGGACCAAGCCTTCAACATGTGGACCTTTGAGTGAGCTTCACCCAGACCATAGTAATCACACAGCTTTTAAATGGCAGAGCCAACACTTAAAACCAGGGCCTATGACTCTGAATTTTGAGTTCTTTCTATGGTGATGAGGATCCCACCTTGAATTCAATACAAAATAATAATAATAATAATAATAATAATAATAATAATAATAACAACAACAACAACAACAAAAACAGAAGGCACGCAAGAGCATTTGCTAAGGTGTGTAGATATTTAAAAATTTTGGTGTAAGTGAGGAATCATTTATGGAATAAAATATTATTCAGGAAGTTACAAAAATGAGTTACATTTCTAGACAAAAGAACTTTTATTTAAAAAGTTATTTTAAAAAATCAAAAGAATGTGTGTTCCCTTTGTACGAAACATGGAGAATCACTAAGTTCCACAACAAAAAAGAAAAATATTCTCCATGACTAAACCACCTAAAGTTGCCAATATACTTATCCCCTATATTCTTGTAGTATTTTTCAAGTGTTCTATGCATCCCTCACTCTCATTTTGTCCTATCATAGAAAGAGAAAAGTCGTTCTTCTAGCTATATGGTGGAAACATTAAAATGAACTCAAGACATGATAAGTTATCTTCTGAAGGTGAAGTATAGACATATAGGCTGAAATACTGACTCCTCTTCCTTTCATGGTTCCCCATCTGTGGGCTCACTGTATTACCTACAAAGGTTCCGAGGACCTTCAGTGGTGACACATAATCAAAACAGAGAACATAGAAGGTACCAAGGCCTGCTCTGCTGCTCTTCTGAGCATAATAGGGCTCACCAGAGATTATGAACTTCAGAAAGATCTCCACCTCAAATAATATGATGGCATATGCAGACAGAATCATAAAATTTAGATATGTACAAAGAAAATGAAAGCTTATGTCCACATAAAGACTCATATGCAAATATTCATAGTAATATTATTCATAGAAGCCAAATATGAAGCAGGTTTCACAATGCACCACCATCAGTCCAGCAGAGGACTTCAAACACCTCGTCAATACCATGCACCAGTGTCAATCTAATTGAGTGAGTCCAGTGAGACACAGAACATTTCAGAATGCATAAAGTTAAGCAAGTTTTTAACCTACAGATACTTAGCAAGGGATAATAGAAGCCTAGGATTCTTGATAAGCTGGTCCCCAAGGCTCAGGAGTAACCCAAGATGGGTGGCTTCATGTCTATATATGCCCCAAATTTCACTATAGCTGAGGGATTCTGATATTCTGCTCCATCTGGGTTTTTAAACCTGGGCGAAACTTGATGCACTGGGCTAAAGAACTCCAGGACATCCTGTCTAGAACAAAAAAGCACAGAGCCTAGGTTTATCTCAGGATATAGAATTTTCAGCATATGCTTTCAACTATGACAACTATAAGCAAGAAAAGGGTAAGAGCCAGGTCACCAAGGCCATCTAGGAATTGTCATTCACCAGTCAAAATGTCCATCAGTTGGTGAGTGAGTAAATAAAATGTGGCATAAGATAGAATATTATTCAGCCATAAAAGGAATGAGGTACTGATATATGCTACATCCTGGGTGAACTTTATATATATATATTATGCAAAGAGAAAGAACCGAACACAAAAGGCCACATAGTATATGGTTTTATTTACGTGAAATGCATAGAAAAAGCAAATCCATAGAGACAGAAAGTCTGGGGCTAGAGGTAGGAAAACCCATTGCAAATGGGCCCAAGGAATCTAACTGGGGCGAAGAGAATGTTTAAAAACTGGATTATGGCTGGATGTGGTGGCACACACCTGTAATCCCAGCAGCTTGGGAGGCTGAGGCAGGAGAATTGCAAATTCAAAGCCAATCTCAACAAAAGCAAGTCAGGGAAACCCTGTCTCTAAAAAAAAAAAAAAAAAAAATACAAAATAGATCTGGGAATGTGGCTCAGTGGTCAAATGTCCCTGAGTTCAGTCCCCAGTACCCCCCCCCACAAAAAAAAACCTGGATTATGATGATAGTTCACAATTCAGTAAATATACTAACATTATTGAACAGTGCACTTAAAACAGGTAAATTTTATGGTATGTAAATTATATTTTAGCAAAACAGCTTTTGAAAATAGAAATGTCTGTGAAATATGTATTTTCTAGCTCATATCCCTTAAAATAAGAGTTGAGCAGAAAGTGATTGGGTYTTTTTTCAAAGTAAACATATTTTTGAAAGGGTTGCTTCTAAATTCACAAGGAATAATTTCTTTTGCAAAGACTTCGAAGGCTTAAAGTAGAGCATATTTTCAGAGATCCCAGCCACACATGATTTTCTCCTGTGGTACAATAGCGCTTCTATTGAAGCTTTTAGCATCCTTCCTCTCACTTTTCTTCCCTAATTCCACACAGTTGAAGCAAAWTTTTTTTTAAAAGACTGGGAATACAATCTGTAGATATATCTCAAGATGTGTCAACACACTCTGGAGTCTTCATATGATTTATAATAAAGTTGGAAGACAAATTAATGCATTAGTTYCTCTTCCCATTTGCCAAGGTCTCTGTGTTGGTTACCTAACTAGATGAAACTGGCATATTCCTTAAAAAAATTTTCATGTCAACATTTGTCTATAAAGTTATGTTTTAAAGCCTCCAGGAACTTGCTGTAGGACCTCTAAGGTAAATCCCTTTGTAAAATGAAGGATTTTTTGTTAAAATTTACTGCTTTTCTGTCCTGTATTATGGATTAGTGCTTCTCCTGAAGATTGGATTTGGTTTTAAGTATGTGTGGCCTGCTCATTAGATTAGTTTTGGTTGTAAGTAATTTTATTGCTTGAGATCGTGGGTTTTTATCATTTCATCTCAATACAATTGAGAAATTCTGCTGATCAAATAAGTATTTTTTCTTGAATAATCTTCTGTAGCTTTTCCATAGTACCTTGAGTACTTGACAAGGAATTTCATCATATCATATTCAACATCTAAGAGACATAGAAGAAAATTCTTGGATATAAATCTTTACCCAAAAATAACCTATCCTGATGCAAGTTTTTAGAAGCCCAACTTTGTTTCCATTCCCTGGGCCTCTCTCACTTTCAGTGTGTCCCCTGAAAAGGAAGACAGAGGGTGCTGCAAGCTCATAAAGGGGAGAAAGGTCCCACCTTCCCTTTAGCCCTGAGTGTATGCTCAACTCCTTTATTCATTGTTGTAAACCTTAATTCATGTTTTATTTGGAAGAAAAAGTATACCAGAAGAAAGGAAATATAGCTAGTAAACTTTTCCAGTCAGAGCAGAAGGAGCCATTCCGTAGGCTTTATTTACACTTGTCACCATGTGTCCCATTCACTGCATGCTTTATAGCCACCTCTGGTCTATTCCTTACTCCAATATCCACTCTCCCCCAACAAGACTGTGCCCTTGGGAATAAATGGTGATATCATGTGAGTGAGTAGCTTCCACTTTAGAGGAATTAGCAGTGGAGAATCCTGTAGCTTCTAAATGCTTCCAGGTGCACAGGACACCATGCTGGTAATATCCATGGAGCACAACATATTGCAATATTCCCCCACACAGAGTTGGAGCTGGTAGAACAGCTTGAGTGCTATGGGAATACTCATGAGCAGCCCAACTGATGCTAGATGATAACATCACATTTCCCTGTGATTTTGCCTCCCATCTTTGGCTGCAAATGAGAGAGCAGAGTAATTACTACTTATTAATCTTTAATTGGTGGTGGTGAAACATGTGCAGCATTAGAAATGTTTGCATGGAAATTAGGACATGTAAGGATCTTGTTTTCACCCTTTTAAAACATTTATTTGAAAATGCTTAAATTTTTCTAAATTCCCATTTGTTGCTTCATTTCAGATTTGTGTCAGAAATGCTTCAAAGGAATGTAAGTAAAAGTGTTCACAGCTTGCGTTTGAATTGCCTTTCTAATTCATCTTTATTAAATTGTTTGATAGATTTTGTTCTATGTGCATTTGGTTTATTCCAAGCATAAAGAAATATTTCCTTACAACCTTAAATTGTTGTCACAGAGGATCTGTCAATCCAACTCATTGAGGTCAAGCATTTTTAAGATTTTTAAATATTTTTTAAATTTTTAATATTTAAAGTACACAATGTGATGGTTTGATATGTGCATACAATTGTTTAATGATGTTCACAATCAAATTAATTAACACATCCATTATCACCTGACCTGTACGGTAGATCCAAGAAACTGTTCACCTTATAACTGAAAATTTGTACCCTTTGAACTCTATCTCCTGCTTCTGGATATATATGTAAAGGAAATATAATCAGTATGTTAAAGAGATATCTGTACCCCCATTTTATTACAGTGTTATTCACTATAGTCAAGATACGGAAAGAACCTAAATGTCCATGGATCAATGAGTGTATAAAAAATGCAATACGACTCATATGTGTGCCTGCACACACACACACACACACACACACACACAAATACTATTATTCAGTGATTAAAAAGTAAAGGAAGTCTGTCATTTGGTTCAGAATAGATAAATATGTAGAACATTATATTAAGTGGAATGTGGCAGACCCAGAAAGATAGATACCACATGAACTCATTTATTTGTGAAATCCCAAAAGTTGAATTCTTAGAAACAAAAGTTGGGCATTTTTTTTTTTTTTTTTGCTTTTTACTGAAGGCTTATACAACACTGCTCAACACTGTGTTTTGTTTAAGACACAATTTTGAAATCAGAATCTGTTAACTGATTTCAGTGGGTTTAATTGATCGCTATTCAGATATGTGAAAATTGTGAAGTTTGCTTCATTCTTACAATTGCATGTACTTTTCTTGGCTCCCAAAGCCCTTGCTTATGTGCAACAGAAAAACTACATTTAGTAAGCTGGGTAAATTCCATCCTATGTCCCCTAAGCTTTTAGTGGATCTCAAGTATGAAAATCTCAGTCACTTCCCAGTTGAGAGTCACCATCTCAAGGCAACTTTCCCATTCTTGGTGGTTTTCCTTCTCCTCTGAGACCTTTCGCTTTCACAGGACTGGTCTCTCAAAATGGGGGAGAGGATTTCATGATACGGGCAGATGAGTAGAACCTGGAAGCTATGGGACTGTTTGGTGGCTACCTCACTACTGCTTCTGGTCACTTGCACACCCTGGTCTGGTCTAAAAARCAACCATTGTTCAGCCCCAGTGCCCTGGCCACTGCTCCTTCTCTGTGTGACCAGTCAGCGAGKCACCCCCTTTGCAGTGCCCTGGCCTTGGTGAACCTAGGCAGACAATGCTACTTCCTGCCTCTACCGCAGCAGGTCGGTTCGTGGCTCCAGGGGATAATTTCTTAGACTGGCAAGCCTGGCCCTTCCCTTACCATCTTTTATGATCTGAATGGAACACACAGGATTCCTCAGAGTTTCTTCCAATTTAACCTTGGGAGTCTTAGGTGGAACTTTGTAGATCCTTATCCCCACCAACCCTCTATGAGTGCTTYTCTCTCTCCCAGCCTTTTTCTTCTGGTGGCACCAGGGCTGCTCCTGCCTGAGAATAGTTCTCAGGGAGCTTGGAGCCAGCACATTCCTCAAGATGTAGAAAGAGGAATAGGCTGGGGGCACACTTGCCGTCTCCCCAGTACTCTCCTTTAAAGAACTTCTCTTTCTGCCTCCCATGCTCTTCATAAAGGTCATTCACTCTAGACTTCATCTTTGCACATTGATGTGAGGAAAGGAGAAGAGAGAGGTGGGGAAGAGATGGGAGGGGAGAAGAGGAGTGTCTGTCATTTGGGACAGAGTCCTCTTCTTCTGAACTTGGTGCTGAAGAGCACACTGTAGTCTCAATGGTGAGATGTTTCCATGAAACCCAGCGCCTCCACCAACTTTTAGAATCAGGGTCTGTCCTCAAAAATGAAGTCAAGTCACCTTGCTATCAAATATGCACTTTCAAATATGCTACATGTTTATCATATCCATATTTTCCTTATCAATGTTTTTTTGTGATTTCCAGTATGTTAGAGTGAAGCCCGTAGTGACACCACGTTTTTCCCTTTCCTGCTCTGAGACTTTGATGGGTGAACTTGGCAACATCGCTAAAACCCATGATTTGCACATTCAGGTAGGTATCTTGTTTGTGCCTCTGTCCTGACCGGCAAGATTTTTCAGTACTCTAAATCATAATTTCCATTTTTTTCTACTGAGATTTCCTAGAGTCAAGTCATATCAGGGCAGGAAATGCCCTTACAGAATGTCACCTAATACACTTCTTTAATTTTGCAAGTAAGAAGCCTGAAGTTCCTTTTATTCCCAATGTTCTTCCATCAGTCTTCAAGAGACAAACACATCTTGATAAGGACGATCAATGACAAACTGGTTACTTATTCTCTGTAGAGTACACAAAATTTAATGCCTTTATTTCCTACTTCTCTTTTATTTGATACTTTCTCCGTGTTCCATATCTTCATTCTTGGAGGAATCAGCTATTATTTGAAAACCAAAAAGAACCTAATTTCCACTTTACAAAAATGCATTTAAAAGCCCTTTTGTTSTTAGTTTCTAATTTAAAATCAGGAACAAAAAAAAAAAGTATATCTTACTTTGTCATTAAGTTGTTGCAATTTAGGAATAACACTTTTAAAACCTAACAGCTGGGTTAAAATTGGGAGCTTCCCCTCCCCCATTCAGACTTAATTACACGCTACACTAAAATTTCTCCTCTTAAGAATTGACTMTCTTATAGGAAAGGTCAAGTTGGGCAAAGGCAATACATTGATTCTTTGCCATTTTAGGTTTTTTTTTTTTAAAGATCTATCTTAAGTCCCATTAACTAGTCTCATCTTCCCCATTATTAATACTATTATTATTTGTGATCTATAAGAATTGAGTTTTGGGTTCAATCTCACACAATAATCTCCTGGACATAACATTCAAAATTTAGATGATGTTTCTACTTTGGAAACAGAATACTTCTCTTTCTCAAAGAATAAAATACAAATGACATTTAAARTTATATTAAAAAATTAAATGAGAAAAACTCACATTTTTCAAAATGACTTGTATCGTCTGGTTGTCCTTTCTTCTTTTCCTATGCCAATGTATTTTATTTGTCTGTTTCCTCAAGAATGGGAATAGATCTCTCTCTCTAAGTAGAATAGCTATTTTAGAAAATCATTTTAAAAATTATCTGGCTATGTATATTCTACCTTACACACAGAGAGCAATGACATTGCATTTKCTCATGAGTTATTTCCTTAATATATGCTTATAACCAATTGATGTGAAATGATTGTTGTTTTAGGCTTGGGACTGGGGTGGTTACTCTACAGTCTAGCATCTTAAAAAGACTTTTGTGGTACCTTGGAGAAGGATTGGTGTGGGAGTCCTAGACTCACTTGTTTTGCTTGCTTTGAATTCTTATTGACTTTTTCTCGATGACTGCAGGATTGTCCAGCTCAGTTATTTCCAAACTGCTTTCTGCTGCAGAATTCATTCAGAAAGCCAACAAAGGAGACAGATTGGAGTCAGGGTCCCAGGGTCCCAATGCTGCTTCGTTCTGAACCTGTTTATGCCTTCCACATAATGGATTGCTATGGATTGTCAAACATAAAACCTGACTAAAATATTCACAGCTAAAAGAATTTGGAAATTCACTTATCTAGAGTTTTTCCTTAAGAGACGAGAAAATAGAGACTCTTAAAGAAAAGAACTGACTTGCCGTAAGACACATAATCAGGGTCAGAAGTTGGGCTAAAACTCAACTCTCAATTTTCTTATGAGTGAACCATGCTGTTGAACTCTTGCTTAAAAGTCAACACCAGAAGAGAAAAATTAGTATAAGCAGCAAGGCTCTTGACTGTCTTAAAGGAGATCTTTGCATTTTTTTCTTGCTACAGTTTGGAATTTGAAAAGACTTGGTTGGAAAAATTTGCCTTGAGATGACACATGTGCATGCACAAACACACACACACACACACACACACGCACACACACACACTATGTTTATGCTATTCCATTTGTCCTATATTGGTGTATATGATGCATATAATTGTTTTAAATAAAACTCATGCACAGTCTTTGTTGTCCATTGATAAGGTTCCTTATACAGCAAGTAGAAACCAGCACACCATTTTGAGGCAGGAAATAGAATTTCTATTATTTTTCTGGAAAAAAATGAAAATATTATTTTTTTTTCTTTTAGAGCCATATAAGTGAAAATTGTGATGAAGTTGAAGCTGTGAAAAACTTATATCCCAATTATAAACACTACACAGATGTTTATGATAGAAACAATCTTCTGACAAATAAGGTAAATGCTGTATCATGGTGCAATCTAAGTAAATGCACACATTTACTAAACTAGAGTAAAGCCCAGTGTGTGTGTGTGTGTCTGTGTGTAGCTAAATATGGACTTGAAGCTTCCTCTCAGTAGATAAATTTAAAGGCTTCRTTTGAGGGTGGGAATGTCATTGGTCCAAGGACACTTGGACAGCTCCATTAGGATGTAAATGTGCCTTTCTTTAAGTCAGCAGATGCATTTCTAAGGATCCTTTGTGTCAGAAATATGAATAGGGATATTAAATTACATATGAAAGTTTTAAAAGGGGTATCAGGAGGGCATTGGTTGCATTATAGCACATATATAATTAGAATTTTGTTCAACATCCACAAAGAATGAAGTGTCCAGGCTTACAAGGAAGAATGTGCAATCCAGTTTGATGCATGTGCGTGTATTAAGGAATACATTCTCACCTGGAAAAAAACTGGCTGGAAGACACATATTGAATGTTGAAAATGATTCTTCCTGAGGGAGAAAGCAGAGCTTTCTACTTGTTATTTTAAAGTTCTGAGATTTGAAAAAAATGAGTATGTATTAATTTAATAATTAATTAAAGTTAATATGAGTGACTAGAGACCTCATTACAATAATAAACCCTTTGGCCTTGACCTTCAAGCAAATATACAAACTGCAGGTAGAGTTTATTGCAGCAAATAATTTCTTTGTTACTATGTGAATGGAGATGATTCAAAAGGTTAACACTCTGCATAAATCATGTAAATGCTATATCATAATTTTCATCCTTTTTTACATATATTTCCTTATAATTAATAAATTAAACTTCAATTTGCATGTTAATTTTATTTGCACAGAGGTTGAGAAAGTTTTATTGAAATCATAATTCTGTGGTCACTGTACCATGCCTCCCAAAGGAGAARGATATTTAGATATAGGTTTTATACTGGGGAAAAATATAATTCCCTAATTTTTATGAAAAATGTAAAATTGGTGAGTTAAAAATTATTTGATGGTATCAAGAGAGTTGCCTATATTAAAACTGAAAAGAAATAAAGAATTTTTTGCAGGGTAACTTTCACAGCTTTCATGTGCTGAGGAGGGAAAACTTACTTCTAGAAAGTTCTGGTGACTATAGCTCTATAGGTAGCTCACCACATAGACTTAGAAAAGAAAGCAGCAGTTTGACAATTTTCTAAAGTAGAAATAATAGAATCATAATTCCTCAAATTGGTTGGATACTCTATGCTGTAGATCATCTCTATAAACCCTCATTATTTTATGGATCAACCAAAAGAAATGCAAGTGAAATTCATGAATTTGCKGAGACTTTTGCTTTACAATGTTTTACAGGCCTTTTCTGAAGTCTAAGATTTATACCTAGGGATTTTGTACAGTTGCAACTGTTCTTATAAAGGTGGTGACCACCAGTCACAGCTTCTGTTTCTCCCTATACTATCTTGTTTTGCGTCAGTACTGACGTAAGCATTTTTGAATGATAAACTCCATGTAGGACAATCTTCTCTCCAGACAGTGATGGCGCATGGCTGCTACCTTTCTGCAGAAGAACTTAACATCTTCAATGAACGAGGAGCATCCATCTCACATTGTCCCAATTCTAATTTATCGTGAGTAGGCAATAATTGCTTGCAAGACTATGAATGTGCATGTTGCATTTTGGCATCAGAAGCCTTTGTTCTCTCAGTCATTCATTCCTCCAGGATCTGTCTTATATTTATGTTTTAGTGGGACAGGAACTAGATAAATGGACATTTGCCTATATTGTAGTGGAGGAAAAGAAGAATATATAAAAGAGGACTTTTTTTTTTTTGCAGAGTATGCATTTGAAAACACATCTCCTAAAATCTCTGAAATGTGCATAAAAAATGAATAATGGGAAATACAACAGAAATTCAGGATTTAGAGCCGGGGACTGTAAGAATGCACATGACAGTCAGTGTCCCAGGGAGGCAGTGTTGACACATTTTGGAGCTCTGGAGTCAGGAGGAAGTGCAGTGCAGTAGAAGCCAATGTTCCACAGTGTGCTGGATCTGACAGGGTGCTGGCTCACATAGGGCAGCCCAGGAGGGACCTTTTCCTTTTGTCATTCCCTAGAATATAAAATATTTTTATAACATGGTCTTAACCTTTTGAAAGATTATGAATTCATAAGTGATTCAGATGACTTCTGGCTTGTATCTCTGGGAAAAAAAAACATAAACATAAAAATGTTGCATCCATTTTCAGTAAATTAATAGATCCCATGATGGGGACCAATGGATACTAGGTTAAAAATCCATGCTTGCACAAGTTTTTTAAAGAAGTGATCTTAGAGAGTACCATTATAGAAGTAATACAAGAGGAAGTCAGTAAGGAATGCATCATCAAGTGAGTTATCACTATGGACTCCTGAAGTTTAATTCTTTGAGAAACCTCAGGGAGTGAGTATATAAACAATAGTGATTGGGAGAGGGCTGTTGATGGGGGTGAAGAACCATTAACTCCCTGGAACTTCTGACCATCCCCAAACAAGGGCAGAGAGGACTTTACTAGTAGGAGAAGTTCCTTGGCAAGGGGTGGAGTTGTTGACAGTTGGAAGCTTAGGGACTTCGCAAATGGCACAAGTATGTGTCAGTGGCAGTATGTGAAGGGGACTTAGAGCCACAGGACATTTTTTTGGACTGTTTTGAGGAGTTTTCAGATATAGTCACATGGTAGGGAATCTTCCCTTTGTAACCTAAATTATGGTCTAGTGACCCCATATGAGAAGAATTACCATCCCGTGTTTGAATGCACTGCACAACATACTCTAAATGAAAACTCATCCAGTTTTGCAAATTGGGATGTGAAGTTAAATTTCTGAAGGAAACATTTTTGTTTAAATACCATTCTCCAACAAATTTGAGAGGTTTATTGTGTGTTTACTGGAGTTTTGGAATGTGCATTTTTGAGCAGACTAGTTTGGCCTTTGCATCTTCTTGGACTTCTAAGGATGTGCTTTAGTTTCTCTTATTAGACAGGCAGCACATCTATTAAGCTCAGAGTCATGAGGTCCACAATTCAGCCCAGAAATTGTCTCTCCTAGTTGCTGCACCCTCAGAGGCAGCATTTGAAATTTCAGACCCAGATTCACCAGACTGCATCCCTTTTCTAGTTGTTCCTACCTGTCATTTATCTTGAGAGTGAAGGAGAGTAATGGGGTAATACTTTTTCTCACCTATCATATCCGACCCTCCATAACAAAAGAGAGACAAATTTAACAAATGTATTTAACCAAAGTTTTACATGCATGGAAGGTTTTAGAATAAAAAAATCCAAAGATATAGAGAACTTTCTCTATTTTTATGCTTTGATTTGATGAAGCACGGACAGCCATTTAGGAACATAATTGGACAAAAAGGATTTGATCTAATGCTAAGAGGCTGAGTGGGAAACCCAGTGAGCTCTGCTGGGCAGGTTCTTCTTGGCTTCTCTGTGTAGTATTTTTTCCCTCCCAGGTATGGGGCAGGATCCTTTCTGAAGTGAGGGTCTTATGACCTTCTATCGAACAAAGCAGGTCAGACAATTTCTCCATGGCCAGCTTCAAAAGAGAAAATCAGGGGAAGAGTAATATTTCTAGGCTTTATGGCTTACTTTGAAGAACGTGGGTTCTAGCTTCTGATTCACTTTTGGAAAGAGAAATTTTAGTTTCTGTTTTAGTGCCAGGGATCCAATGATTTACACCCTCTAGGCCTAAGAAATTCTAGTTTCTATGGATTGTCTTGTGGAGAAGAAAGGGGTCAGGATTAGGTCAGAGGAAGATTTTGATTTTTGAGGTTGCTTCTTTGGGGTCTTGTTTTCTGAGCCTTAATATGAATCACTGCTTATTCAGGGTTACAAATTGTTCTGCAAGTAGAGGAAGGGCAGTGCTTTATAATTTCTATTTCCTAATATAGATGAGTGGGTCAGTTAAAAAATACTTAAGAGCCAGTTGCAGGGGTGCACACCTTTAATCCCAGATAGCTGAGAAACTAAGGCAGGAAGATGGCAAGTTTGAGGCCACCCTTGGCAATTTTGTGAAGCCCTTTCTCAAAATAAAAACTAAAAAAGGGCTAGAGTGTAGCTCAGTGGTAAAGTGCCACTGGGTTCAATCCTGAGCAATCCTTGTCCCCYGCCCCTCTCCCATCACCACCACCAAATTTAATATTGATAAGACTTTTTGGACTCATTGTAAGGTTTAACTTCTTCATTTATTCTTTTCATATAAGTGATTCTCCACTTTCCCTTTATTTCTTGATGCTTTGTATCTTCCTGAGATTAACTTCAGCTCTTGATGATGCTTTGTACTCCAGGACTCAGATGGCCTGGTTTGACTGTATTTGTGTCAGCATGAGAGATGATCCGGTGGGAAATGCCATTTTCAGTGATATCGCTTTTCATTATTATTAAGTGACCTTCCATTGTTGGAATCGCATGGATCTCCTCTGAAATCTTCTCTCTCCACAGGCTCAGCAGTGGCTTTCTCAATGTGCTTGAGGTCCTGAAACATGAAGTGAAGATAGGGCTGGGGACAGGTCAGTATTTCACTGGTGAAAGTGTGGCATTGGTCAATCAGCAAATAACTTTTGATGGGCTGGGGATGTGGCTCAAGCGATAGCGCGCTCGCCTGGCATGTGTGAGGCCCTGGTTCCATCCTCAGCACCATATACCAACAAAGATGTTGTGTCCACCGAAAACTAAAAATAAATAAATAAATATTAAAGATTCTCTCTCTCTCTCTCTCAAAAAAAAAAAAAAAACTTTTGATGCAACTAATTTGCAGATAACAGTTTTATGTTTAAGAAACATGAATTTGATTGGTAGTGATGTCTTATTAAGTATCTAACTGAATAGTGAGGTTGGAAGTAATGGGAACTTGTCTGTGAAGAGAGATGTTTCTATGACACTAAACCCTGAAAGCCATTAACCCTGTTTGTGGTTTAGAGGTTAGACGATAAAGTACCATTGCTTCTAAAGTATTTTAAAGGTTCTTGATTTCCCCCACCATTATTGTTTTGTCCTTCTGGCTAGGTTTTAATAAGGTTATTATAAGGTTGGATTTTGTGTGTGTGTATGTGTGTGTGTGTGTGTGTGTGTGTGTGTGTGTGTTTTCAGTAACTTCATCATCAAATACTGTCTCATAAGAAAATGTATTTGACTTTGCCAGAGTGACCAAGGTCAGATTCCATCTTTGCCAACTTCGAGAACTCTGAGACACTATAAGAACCAGCTTTGCTTTTAACCCTTGTTTGGCCAAAATGGGACTCCTGGTTTTCGACAGGTAGTCTGATGCTCACCCAGCTGAAGGACATTCTACGTGGCAGCTGGGTTAGCAATGCACTCTTTCTTTACAATGCATTTTAATTGTTTTTCCTGAGTGTGTGCACTGCTGCTCACTTAGAAAATGAGAGTCAGCCTAAACGTCTAGGCATCCACTGTGAGCCTTCTTTAATTACTGTGTGTGACTGAACTAAAAATTTTTTAAAGGGAGATGAAATTGGGCACAAGAGGTTATTTTTCTAAAACTTTTAAAATAGACACATAAAACTGTACATATTAATGGGGTGTACTGTGATATATATATATCACAGTACACCCCATTAATATATATATATATATATATATATATATATATATATATACACCCATGGATATATTGTATGATATTTAAATTAGGATAAGCATATCTGTCTTCTGAAACAGTTATCATTTCTTTATGGTGAAAATATTCAAAATCCTTTCTTTCAGCCTTTTGGAAATATATAGTACATTATAATTATCTATGGTCACCTTACTGTGCAACAGCACACCAGAACTTATTTCTCCTAATAATAGCTTTGTACCTACTCATTAACCTATTCCCACATCTCCCTCCCCACTACTCTCCTCAGCTTCTGGTACCCACCATTCTATCCTCAGCTTCTATTAGGTCAAGTTTTTTTTTTTTTTTTGGATTCCACATTATGAGTGAACTTATGTTGTACTTGTCTTTCTTTTCTGTTCCTGATGCTTTTGTCTTCTTGATATTTCAGAACATGAGGCTGAATGCATATTGAAATTGATAGTTCTCACCATTTTCTGCAACAACTCAAGTTCTAGGTTATTACAATGAGATATTTTAYATCAAGCAACTAATTAGAAAAACAATAATATTCATTATTATTTTGTTAAAATTATCAAGAAAGGTATGTTAAATTAGAGATTTTTTTCCAGTTTTACATAGAATCAAAGTAGTTAGGATTTTTAAAAATTCTAATTTAAGTCGTAAATTATTAAGATTGGGATAACATTGGGATTTCATCACTGATGTTAAAGGAAGTGAATTAGTTTCTTTATTTTCACAGGAAATTTTTAAAGGTTAGGGAAAAAAATGGCCAAGAGTTTGCTACACACTACAGTTAGTTAATATGAAAAATTTAGCAGACATAAAAAATCAGGTAGGTATTGCTCTCAATTTTTCTAGGAAAATTCCCATGATTTAAATTCATCATGCAGTTTCTTCAGTTCTTGACTGGGTTGTTATCACTGTGGCTGAAAAAGCATAGGAAACATTCTGGCAAATATATTGATCAAATGTTTGCTTAAATGTGACATATTAGTGTATTAGCTTGGAGAATGTTGTTTCATTTTTATAGTCTTTATCGCCAAAGCCACCTAGGGATCCACTATTTCCTAGATATGATGTTTATGTTATCAATTTGCCCTTTCTTTATAGAGTTTGGGAGATATTTAGCCTCATACTGTGAGTAGAGAGGAAGTCCAAGAACAGTTTGTGCACTGTGTCTATAACAAATATGAGCAAATCTTGACTTGCTCAAATATTAAAAACCTGCAGGAAGCCTGTCAAAAAAGCATTGCAAAGCAAGAAAAGGCAGTTTAGGAATGAGAGCAAACATCTAATAATGATCTATTTCTGATCCAGAAGAAAATTTCTAAAAATTGCCATCATCCTTAGAGTTTAAAAAGACATGACACTCTGAAAATATAGCAAATGGTGGTGAAAATACAAATTTTTCAAAGTGGAAAAAATAAACAAAAAAATTGAAATACAAGCATGTGAACTCACACTGCTGGAGAGATGGTAAATGGTATAATCATTTTGAAGAGCATTTTACAGTTTCTTATAAGGTTAAATATACATCTACATATAACCCAGGAATTTCACTCTTGGATATTTATCCTGGAGAAATGAACAAACATGTTTTCAAAAAGAGTTGTATAAGAATGTTAATACCTGTTGTATTCATAAAAGCTGCCACTTTGAAATAATCCAAGCATCTGTCAACAGGAGGATAGATAAAAGCAAACTGTGGTATATTCACATAATGGAATATTACTCAGAAGTTAAAAAACAAGTTACTTATACATACAAAACATGAGTACATCTCAAAAATATCTTAAGTGAAAAAAAAGATAAAACAAGCATATACTGTATGATTTCATATGTATAAAATCCAGGGACTAACAGAACTAACCTGTGTTCACAGAAATCAGGAAGTGTTGGAGGTGATATTAGGAGAATTAACTAGAAAAGGCCATAGGGAATTTGCTGGAGTAGTGGAAATGATTGATATCTTGTTTTTTTTGGGGAAAGGTAGTTAAAACTGTGTATAACTGTTAATATTTATTGAACTGGATGTCCAAGTACTATACATTTTATAATATCTTAATTATATCTCTATTAAAGCAAGAACAAACCAATTATGTAGGCGGATATAAGAAACAGAACTGTTGCAAAAAACGAATTCAGTGATGGGGGGAATAACATGGAGTAAAGATCAGAAGAGGGTGTTAGAGGATGATCCATGAGGAGGGCAGAAGGCATAGTGCCAACACAGGGGCCTTATGATGGAGGTCCTGGAGTCAATGGAACAAATAATGGTGCTTAAAGGATATTTTKTTTTAGCTTAAGAAGGAGCTATGTTGTAAGTGCTTGCCCCATTTTATGTTAAATTATACCTGAGCATGTTGTTGCACAATATTTTAATTACAAAGAACAAAAACACTTCCAGAAACATTGACGTAGGGTGAAAAATTCAGTTGTCAACAAAACAATTAAAACAATTTTCATTCAAATGTTTTTTTGCTAGCACACACAAAACCAAAGTCAAAAACGAATATGGGGGTGAAGCAGTCATTAGCCGAAAATATTATATCTGGCGAATTCTCCTTCATATATGAAGGCATCAAAATTCTCAGCTAAACAAAGCCTTGGAAAGTAATCTCTCTGAACCCCTTGAAAAAAATAACTAGAAAATCTATACCATTTATTTATTGGTGGGCCAAAATGAAGTGCCATTATGTGGGAAAGAAATAGAACAATGTGCACATTAAGAACAACTGGGTCCAATTTCTCTGCCACTGGCTGGCGAGGCTAGCCACCTTGACCTAGTGGCAAGTTACCTTGTCACTGTGCTTTAGTGTTTGTCTCTAAAATGGAGTTGATGATAGTAGACACCTWGTAAGATTGCTTTGAGGAAAAATAAAGTTAATATGTGATCTTCTTAGAAAGATTCTTGACATAGACTAACAATTGAATACTTGTTGACTAGTATTMGGTAAAAAATCTATGCCATTTATTTATTGGTGGGCCAAAATGAAGTGCCATTATGTGAGAAAGAAATAGAACAATAAAATTTAAAGTAAAGCTGTTATCAGTTAAAGTAGAAATAAGATTAAAATATGGAAATGATTTTAAAAAAATAAAAGCAAAAGCCCCAAATTCATCTCAATGTGAATAATGTTAAAAGTAATGTATATTAAAAAAACTATCAGAATGGCAACATAAATCAGAAAGAGGCTCCTGGGTCCTGAATACATACTTGTTTTTGAAACTGAGTGTCAGATTCTTCAGTTTTGATTTTATATTTTCTTTATATGATTTGTATGTCTTCAATGTTATAGAAATTTAAATAATATATGTTCTGCAAGAAATAACTTCCTAAGTACTAAAAATTCTCCTGTCTTCTGATTTTGTTAACAAAACCCAAGTTGTAGCGTCTGTGTAAGATGTACTTGGCAAGTGGCAGCCAAATTATAAGTGTATAAAACTTCTCGTCTCAGAAAAAAAGTGAGTTGCATGTCATATTTTGATTTTGACTTTGCAATATAAAAATACAGGTTGAGTAGCCTTTATCCAAAATATTTGGGAACAGAAGTATTTTGGATTTCAGATTTTTAAAAATTGGAAATATTTGCATATGTATAATGAAATACCTTGGGTAAGGGACCCAAATCTAAACACAAAATTTATTTGTGTTTCATACATAATTTATATACATAGACTGAATGTAATTTTAGACACTATTTTTACTGTTCCTGCATTTTGGAGAGCAGCTCATCTCATGAGGTCAGGTGTGGCATTTTCCACTGTGGTGTCATCACGTTTTGGAGCATTTGAAATTTTAGATCTTTTGATTAGGAATGCTCAACCTATATTAAAGATAACTACTGGCAGAATTATGTGGAATGCCTCCTGTCTAAAATAGGAAGGATGCTTGGAAGTCAAAGCAAACATGGTAGATAACCCCAAAACAGTAATCTGAAAGAAAAATTTGAAAGTATACAACAAGTTTACATAAACAATACATATAAATTCATTAAAACAAATGACCTGCATATAGCAGTGTCTCATTTTGCAGTGATGATTACCCATCCTGACTTGGTTTTTTCCAGTACTCCCAAAGCACTCGTTCTTTGATCTCCTTGTGGAACCCAATCCAGATTCCAGACCCATTATTGCCTCCCTGATTTACCCTGCTTGGATGCCGGTGGACATCACTGGAAAAATGGCTTCTGATCCCTCTTTGTGTTCACTTTGCAAAAGCCCAGGCTTTGATTCTTTTATTGTTCCTCTTTCTCAGAGCACATACCTGGGCATCTGGAAGGTGCTGAAGAAGCATCTCCGGTGGTACAGTGCTTGCCTAGCGTGCCTGAGGCCCTGAATGTGGTCCCCATCACTGCAAAATAAAAATAAGACAAAAAAAGTCACACCATAAATATATACAACTTTTGCCCATCAATTTAAAAAATCAATAAAATATACAGATTCCTGAGTTTAATCTTGATAGATAGATCCTGAGTGAGCAGTTTCACAATGGGGTTTCAAGAGATCTGTCTAGAAGTTGATAAAGAGCCAGGTTTGGGAACCTCGGCTCTGCAGAGGAAGTACTATGTGCATGTTAAGAACAAGCTGAGTCCAATTTCTCTGCCACTGGCTGGTGAGGCTAGCCACCTTGACCTAGTGGCAAGTTACCTTGTCACTGTGCTTTAGTATTTGTCTCTAAAATGGAGTTGATGATAGTAGACACCTTGTAAGATTGCTTTGAAGAAAAATAAGTTAATATGTGATCTTCTTAGAAAGATTCTTGACATAGACTAACAATTGAATACTATTTGACTAGTGTTAGGTATTTGGCATTGAGTTTCTTTATTTGAAATTAATTAATTTATTTCCAATTAACATGTAATGTACAAAATTGAAGAGTGCTCTCTATTAACATGGATGAATAAGTTAAATGGATATAATAAAACTTTTCAGGGGAATTGAGTGATCCTTTGGAAATACTGTTCTGGTAAAAGAAAAGCATTTTCTAAAAAAATTCCTTACAAGTTTACCTAAGGACAAGTAAGACAGTTGAACATGAAATTGAGCTGCAATCTATAATTACTATTAAATAGGCAATTACTTTTGATCTTTGCAGTATATATAGGCATTAACAATTATATATGTCTACCTAGAAATGACAGAAGGAACCCTTAAGATATAAAGTGTATTTTATTAGCTATAAATGTATTTTACTCTAATAAAACTTGCTAACTCGCTTGACATTTATATGAACTCATTTAATAACTTCTATATATGTTTCTTTCAAAGATAGTGTTTCAATTGAATTATGATTAGAGATCTCATTTAAACCACTAAAAATCTTTTTCCTCATTTAATGATGCCAACCAATATATAAAGCTAACTGAATCATCATTGCTTGTTTATTATACTAATTTCCCAAAATATATGTTTATTCTAACACTCTTTCTGCCAAATTATCTTAAAGAAGTAACTTTATTTAATTTCCTAAAGTTCTCATCTGGATTAGCATAAAGTTAGGACGAGGTTTTTGAATATAAAACTGTRAACTTGTTTTAAATCACATATAAATCATCTTTACAACTATGCAGATATATTTGAACAGTTTTTGTGAGAGTTCAGAGAATATTCAGAGATGTTTCTGTTACCTTTATTAATAATTTGGGTATCGAAATGGGCTGAACTGTGGCCCCAAATGTCTACCAAAACCTATAAATATGATCTTATAAAGGTCTTTATAGATATAATTAAGGTAAAGGTCTCAAGATGAAGTCATTCTGAAGTGCAGTGGGTCCTAAATCCAATGATCAGTGCAGAAAAGGAGAGAGACAGAAAACCGAGGGAGGAGGACCATTTGAAGGTGGAGGCAGAGATTGGAGTTCTACTGCTATAAACCAAAATGCCAGGAGCCACCATAAACTGGAAAAAGCAAGGAATGATTCTTCCCCAGAGCTTCTGTAGGTGTAACAGCCCTGCCAACACTGTGATTTCAGACTTTTGAACTCCGAAACTACGAGAGAAGAAATTTCTGCTGTGCTAAGCCATAAAAATATGTGGCAGTTTGTGACAGTGGTTCCAGGAACCTAATAGAAAATTCTAATTCTTATCAATGTTGATTTGCCTCTCTATAGATAAGACTTTTCTTTACGGATATTAAAGATGGACTATATCACTCAAAACAAAAGACAACCTTATGTATCTATTATTTCGTTTATCCTCATAAAGTTACTGTCTGGGCTTTGTTTTGCCTACCACAGATGTGGCTGGTGGTTATTCCTCATCCATGCTTGATGCCATCAGAAGAGCAGTGATGGTTTCCAATATCCTTTTAATTAATAAGGTAAATGAGAAAAGCCTCAGCCTCAGAGAAGTCTTCAGACTAGCCACTCTTGGAGGAAGCCAAGGTAATGACTATTTTATTTCTCTCTCACACAACATACAACCATGTTAATTTGTGTCCTTGAATGGAGTGTGAAGGTACATGATATGAAATCAGGGGAATCCAATACACATACTGTCGAATCCCAGGGGGCAWAGCCAGCTTATAGCCAGCAAAGTATATGTTCAGGTATATGGCAGAGAAATCAGTTTTTCCAGGAGTTCACTATCTGGCATAATAGATGTTTGATACACAATTGTCATAAATTATGATAAATTGGTCACTTTAATGGATATTTGCATTGGCCACATGCATTCTGGTTCTTTAAAATAATCCACTGTTCCATTGAGTCAAGTACTTGCTTCTCTCTGCCTGAGTAATAATAATAACCATATACTACTAATAATAACCATATACTAAGCCATAGCCAAGACTTGCTGAGCTCAGACCCATGAATGGCACCATGCAACACACCTTACTATGTTGTTATTGTACCTTCATGACCACTGCTATTAATTCCATTTTATTAACAAGGAAATTGTGCAGGCTTACACAGCTGTCAAACTACAACATGCCATGATTGAATCCATAAAATCGAATGCCAAATTTCAGATACTTGCTTCTACTCTCCACTATATCTGCTTATAATAATTCCCACCAAGACCATGTGCTTGATTTATATATTTAAGTATGCTAATTACTCAAAGTCTCTTTAAGAGGAAAAAGATGTAAAAAAATAGTTTGTTGATATACAAATATTCATTAGTTTTTCTTGGTTCTCAAGTGTAACTACATTTTTATGAAAAAAATAGAAATCATAATTTAAGTCACTTTAGAAATATAGTGTAATTTGAGTGGATGATAATGAAAATAGCATAAAGCAGAGATAGCTGGTGAGAAATTAAAATATATAGATAAGGATTTAGAGATATAGATTTACAATAGATTTCTCCAGGCTTAGACATGGATGGAGATCAAGGCTAGGTGTACCCTGGGAAGAGCAATTTCTCAGTTCTTTGAAAGTTCGGTTACTATAATGAGTGCCCTAAAGAACATTTTAACAAAAACAAGTAGTGGTTCTCTTCTTTGCAGTGCTCTAAGCCTTGAGGTTTCATATTCTAAAATTCCCAGTTTCAAGCCACCCATTTTTTTAAACTTGACACCCTCTCACCAGCACCATCATTGTATTTGCACATCTGAGTTTGAGTTATTCTACCATCTATTTTCATGGTACAAATAAGCTGAATTTAAGTGGTGCCTTTTTTACTCTAGGCCCTCTGTGATTGCCCCATCAGGATCCTGTTCTAATCAAGCCATCATGGAATGCCTACCAAATCCTTTCTGCTGCACAGTGTAGCTTTTAAAACTGTGTTTCTGGGCCACTGGGCTTACTGTTACAGAATTTCTTCTCCTTAGCTTGTGTCTCTACTATGGTCTGGGTGAAATGGGATGAGTAAATCCCTGTGGCATATTCTCAGCTCTGCCACAGTCTTGACACTCACTCTCATGAAGATCAAATTGTGTGTAAGCAAGCCGGGTGCCATGGCACACGCCTGTAATCCCAGCACTTTGGGAGGCTGAGACAGGAGGACCGAGAATTCAAAGTCAGCCTCACATCTTAGCAAGGCTCTAAGCAACTCAGTGAGACCCTGTCTTGAAATTAAAATTATTGAAATTAAATACAAAAAAGGGCTAGGGATGTGGCTCAGTGGTAAAGTGCCCCTGAGTCCAATCCCCAGTACAAAAAAAAAAAAAAAAAAAAAGAGTCTTAACCATCTTCACAGAGCCAACATTTGCTCCAAAGACAGCAAAATTGCATTTCCTGAAATGCATTTGAATTGCTCACCATCCCAGCTCCGTCCAAATGCAACAATCTGAATGTACTGTTTATAAATTCATCAGAAGCAATTGTGTCTTTTGGGGTTAATTCCTCCCTGAACTCTTTGTGTTCTAATGACTAGCCCAGTTACTTTAACAAATTTGTAGGGACACTGGCAGCTGTAACTGGTTTTCTGGCCTATTAAACACACAACAAATTCATGTTGCATACAGCCATTGAAAACTCATACTTGTTATGCTTCTTTGCCAACAGCAAAAAGGATGGTGTATAAACAGTGAAGGAGGAAAAAAATTTTACTGATTTTCTATCATATTCAGAACTTCCCCTGACAATTAATAGAAGTCACCAATTGCTTTTAATATTTCTAATTATTTTCACACTCCTCTCTTAATGTGAAATCTAAAGAATTCTTTTCTTTGATAAAAGTTGTTCTTTAATTTTTTAAAAACAAGTAAGATTTATAAGTCAGTGCTTTGGGAATTGCCAAGTGTTCTGGATTTTTGCGCACAGAAATATATCAGATTTTGCCTAGMAGGGAAGATCTATCCACTATTTCCACAGCAGATAACAGGATGCCAGTGACAAAATGCTAAAAACACATGTAAAAATTGAAGTAGACAATGCTGCACCCCAGTTAACCTTCCTTGTGTGTATGTGCCGTTTGCTACCTCAGTGTATATCTTTGCTCATGTTATAGGCGTTAAGGAGATTTAGAGTCAACATGTTCACTGATCATGAAATCCAACTACCTCCATCTTCTGAAACTAAGTCATAGAAATGAGAGATKTTCTTCCTTGGCACTTAATAATCCTAGTACATGAATTATAGCTKGAGATGAGCAGAGTCAATAGACGTTATTGACCTATGCCTTATTTTAGAAAATCATTCTTCTTGGGCAACCAGAAAAGCTTTGAGGTTACAAGAGATTGGTCTGTTTTCAAATCATTGTGTCTCTTGAGTTATGAGGATCTGTTCACTTTGAGAAGTGAGTTGTTTTCTATTCAAAGGCTTGAAGTTACGGTAGAGAGGCCTRCATTGGCAAATATACAAAAGAATAATTATTTTTTATTTATTAGAGGTTCATTTCACTGCCATAATAATAGATCTTGTTAGCTGTTTCATGGAACATAAAGAACAAAAAAGACAAGGAAAGGAATTGGAACTTTGTGGGGAAAAGAGAAGGGAAGAAGATCAGTATTAGGCCAATTCTTAGGTATTCATAGGTATCGTGTCTGTTCTTAGAGCCATAAATAAGAAGCACAGGCCAGCTGGCACTGATAGAGCTGAAATCGAATGACAACTTCAGAATTATGATCATAGTGATTGGGGGAAACCATTTTTATTTTCACATTTTGCTTTCTTATACTTTGCTTCTTGTAAGTGGAAGTCTTGGGTCCTACTGGAATGAGAGCACTTTTCTGCCTCACTATTGATTATTCATTTTTTTCCTAGTGATATTTTGGCAGATTCTATCCCTGCAAACCGAGACATTAGCATGGTCTGATGGCTTGCAGTACTGACTGGGTTTAAACTTGTTTTCTTCTGCAGCCCTGGGGCTGGAGAGTGAGATTGGAAACTTTGAAGTGGGTAAAGAATTTGATGCCCTTCTGATCAACCCCAAAGCATCTGACTCTCCCATTGATATGTTTTATGGGGATTTTGCTGGAGATATTTCTGAGGTAAGTAAGACAAAGTTAATCAAAAGACATTTATTTCGTAAAAGAAGTCAAAATAGCTTCCTTGTAGAAAAGTAAATAGAAACTGAAACATTTTAATGGAGTTGAGGAGAATCTTAAAGGGAAGGTTGATCCCTTTGATAATGTCCAATTTATGACAGCAATGTTAAGAATAATTATGATTAGCAAAATATTTGCATTTGAATGTGTTAGTGTATCTGGGCATATTTTTCTATAAGCAGCCATACATAACTAGTATTAATTGAACACTTGATATGTGCTAGGTAGGCTTGGGATTAAGCCCTTTCATACATAATTTTATTTAATTAGCAGAACAACTCCAAGAGAAATAGGTACTATTCATATTATCATACTAATTATAGGGGCAGTGAGGCTGAGGGAAAGTTAAGTGATTTACAGAGGACTCATGGCCAGTAATTAATATGCAGAATTTGGATTCAACTGGGAAGACTTTCTGACCACCAGAAATTGGGCTCTTGACACTATGCTCTTTCTTTCTTTTTTTAAAAATTTGTTCTAATTAGTTATATAGTAGAATATATTTTGACATATTATACATATATGGAGTTTGACTTCTCATTCTTCTGGTTGTGCATGATGTAGAATTACATTAGTCATTTAATCATATATGCACATAGGATAGTAATGTCCAATTCACTCTACTATCTTTCCTATTCCCATTCCCATTTCCCCTTCCTTCCCTTCATTCCCCTTGGTCTAATCCAAGGGACTTCTATTCTTCCCTAACCACCCCACCTTATTGTTAATTAGCATACAAATATCAGCCTTTGGTTTTTGGGAGGATTGGCTTATTCACTCAGCATGATATTCTCCAGTTCCATCCATTTAATGGCAAATGCCATAATTTCATTCTTTTTATGGCTAATATTTCATTGTGTATATTTACCACATTTTTAGGGTACCTTGTTAGATTCATAGTTTAGCTATTGTGAATTGAGCTGCTCTAAACATTGCTGTAGTTGTGTCAATGTAGTATGCTGATTTTAAGTCCTTAGGGTATAAACAGAGGAGTGGGATAACTGGGTCAAATGGTGGTTTCATTCCAAACTTTCTGAGGAATCTCCATACTTCTTTCCAGAGTGGTTGTACCAATTTGTAGTTCCACCAGCAATGTATGAGTGAACTTTTTCCCCACATCCTCGCCAACATTTATTGTTGCTTGTATTCTTGATTGACATTCTGACTGGAGTGAGATGAAACCTCAATGTAATTTGATTTGCATTTCTCTAATTGCTAGAAATGTTGAAGATTTTCTCATATATTTGTTGACCAATTGCTTTTCTTCTTCTTGTGTCTGTTCAGTTCCCTTTTCCCACTTATTGATTGGGTTATTGGTTTTGGTGTTACATTTTTTGAATTTTTCATATATCATGGAGATTAATGCTCTATCTGAGGTGCATGTGGTAAAGATTTTCTCCCATTCTGTAAGCTCTCTTTTCAAGTTCTTGATTGTTTCCTTTGCTGTGAAGAAGCTTTTTGGTTTGACAGTTTTCTTAATTATATAAGAAAATGAGTTTTGTTCTCATAAAATMTTTTCCTATTAATATAATAAACAAATCCATCTTAGTTTAATAATTATTGTTTATAAGACAGTTTTTAGAAAAGAATTAACTATTATCATTTATAAATTGATGTACTTATGAAAGTAAATGTAAAAATAAATATATTCAAGTTTTTAAAAGAAAAATGTTGGATTATTTGAAGCTTATATCATTTGTTATTGGGGAGAAAAAAGATCTTTCCTCTGCCATCTTAGGATCGAGACTTGAGTTTCCTATAACAAAAGACAGATCAACCAAAAAAAAAAGCATACAAATTTATTTATGGCACGAGAGCCTTCATAATGAAATGAAGACCCAAAGAAGCTGGTTAACCTGAATGCTAGGTTTGATGAAGAATGGAAAATTGGGAAAAGAGCATTCTCTAATRGTACCAAACTGGAGGCAAACAGGGCCTTATTTTGTACTGTGTCTTCTCTGTGATCCTTTGTCAAGGATGCTCCTTCCCTCCTTCCCTCTGACTTGAGGGTCTTAGGATCTGCTTCAGGGGAGAAGGGTGAGAGGAAGGTCACAGTGACCTTCCTGCCTTTGATTTTGGGGAAATGTATCCTGAGTCCATCATTATTTTCATATTACTTTTTCTTTTACTTTTTTAGTAGAGGGACTTTCTGGGAATAAGGCTTAATCCCATTCATCTAGTCATTTTTCTTATTTCATACACCTCTTAAAATATTTGAATCATTTCACTAGATTAATTTCTTTAATTTATATAATGCTTTTCCTTCAAATAATTCAAGGTTATATCCCAAGAACTTTCCAGCAGTAAACAAACATTTACTAGTAGTCAATAGGTTGTGTTTTTTATTTGTTTGATGCTTTTCTTTTTCCCTGAAAAGAAAATTTCTTTTAATTAATAAAAGTTTAAATAATAGAATTAATAGACAATTTCTTTTAATTAATAGTAGTTTGCTTTTGAGAAATACATTTCAAATTCTGGGCTTTACCAAACACTATTTCCTGTTAATTTCCTTTATGAAATGTACAGAATACTATTTCTTATTACTTTTATTTTCCATTTTAGGCTGTTATCCAGAAGTTCCTCTATCTAGGTAGGTAGCTATACATCTCTATGCTAAATAAGTCTTTTGTCTTTTTCTTGAGTATGGCTCTCTATGTTTGTTATATATTTAAATTTTATGTGTGTTAATTTGCCTTGATTTATTTTTTAAATACTCCTCAGCATCAAGTCCTTTTGTAGTACAATATTTAAAGTACTGCTTGAAATACACGTGACCCACTAGAGCATACAGTCACAAATCCCAAGCTGAGAATGGAAGCCCATAGGGGAAGAAATCCCATATGTAAACCTCTTACCCTCATCTGTACCCACATTCCGCCCTACCTTGTGGTATGTGTGATAGGTGTCTAGTAGACCCTCCCCACATGTGTTTCTAGTGTACTCATGTTCAATTCAATTCACTGAGAGAAATGATAATGCAGAGATTCTCCTCTGATGTTCCTTCCACTGAGTGAATTCAGTACTGAGTGAACTTGAGATGGGAGAGACACATGTTATTTCTCAGTTTCTGCAAATTATTCATTTCACCATGCAATATTAAGATAATGATTTCTTTTTCAACTGGGGCTAGAAATGAAAACCAAGCACTTAAGCTGAAAGGATGGGTATGGGGGTTGATTCATGTGACTTCCACCTTGAGCACAGAATCCAGACTCTAATCTCAAATTAGCTATGGCATCTTCTGCTGATCCAAGTTATCCTGACCAGATTATAAGCAATCTGAGAGGGTAAAAAATAAAATTAAATTAAAAAGTCAGCTGTTTTGTGTTTCCTTTCTTGCAAGTATTTTGTTTTAAATCTCTCCATGACAATTAAAATAATTATTGACACAAACCACTTTATAAATTGATTCTTTGATTTTTCTTTCAGGAGATGATCGAAATATTGAGGAGGTTTATGTGGGTGGCAAGCAGGTGGTTCCATTTTCCAGCTCAGTGTAAGAAGTTCTCCTGGGATGACATGGCTCTGCGTCTCCCTTGTGCCCAAGCGTGGTTGGAAAGTCACAATCAGTAYCTTGTTCTTGGGATGACTATCTCTTTCTGTGTCTAGTTACAGTATTCACTTGGTAAACTGCTTGAAGGAAGTGCAGTAATTCCCAACTCTGGTTGGGAAGTTTCATAATTTCATGAAAATGTCTCCTTTTTGAGCTGTTCAAATTTACTTCAAGCTCAAACAGAAGGGGATATTATTGCTGGCCGTATGTCTATTATGAGATTGAAGTGAAATCTTTTTCCTATGTGGAAACGCGAAGAGCAAAGATATTCCTGTAAGGTTAGATATTTTGAGCTAACGAGTATGAAAATTACGGAACTAAAAATTAACCAGTGACCATATTTTTATGAGGGAACAAAAATTAGACAGTGAACAAATGTTGGAAAAAATCACTTCAGATTGTGTTTGAAAATTATATGCTGAGCATAAAGTTACTGAATTTTAAAATGTGTTTCTAGATTGACCTTGTGTTTTGGAAATTTGCACTTAATGGAATTTGCATTTCACAGATGTGTTCTTGTTGTGCTTTGCCTTCTTTTAGGGATGGATGTCAGGAATTGAATGCCATATGCTTTTTAAATATAGTTCTGTGCTTCAAAGTGTTTGACAGAAGTTAAGTATTAAAGATTTAAAGTCTCTTAGGAATATTATATAACTACATGGCATAAATAACTGTATTTTGGTGCACTTTAAAATCATCTTAATTTATAACTGTGTGATGTTATCATTGCTTCCATTTTATTAGAAGAGAAACAAATTCCATACACCATTGTTGTGTAAAATGGAATTTTTAATAAATCGGGGCAAGTACTGGGTATCCATGAGCTATTGATACTAATAGGACAGATCCCTTTGCAATAGCCTATTCTACCCAACCATATCCCACAGTTGCTGAAAATTTCATACTCAGATGTCAGACTGCTAGAATTTTAAAATGAAGGACAAATCTCATTAAAGAAATATTATTAAAAATATTTTAAAACCCTACATATTGAAAACACTCCATTTTCTAATCTTAATCCAATTATCCATTTGATTAATTATAATTTTCAGGACATTAGAACTTTATGGTAATGAAAAAGTGTAGATGTCTCACGTAAGGTTTCTATGAACAGGAGCTGATATATACTAGGCATCTAGGAATATTAAACAAAGTGAAGAGCATTATATGCTTCCTAATTATACAGTGTCCTTTCCCCAAACTCAGAATTAAAACAAATTGTAATCTTATGATAAAACCTTAAAATTACTGAGTCTTATTTAAAACCTATATTTTTATTAATTTATTCCAAGTATTATAAATAAACCAGGAAAGGGAACAGATTTCTCAACATGACATTCATTCCTGGGGCTCCAGTGTGACTCCTTCATACTACCTTGCATTAGAAAACTTTATATAACTAATTCCATACCTACAAAACTAAGAACATGATTTTTCCATAGTATAAATATTACTTTTACATATTCATCTTAATTCAGCAGTAATTTGCCCAGTTTTTTTTCCCCAGTAGTAGAAACACTTTTAGAGTTAAAATTTTTTTAACTTTATTTTGTTTATTTTATTTTATTTTTTTAATGTGGTGCTGAGGATCAAACCCAGTGCCTCACACATGCTAGGAAATCACTCTACCACTGAGCCACAACCCAACCCCCACTTTTAGATTTAATTGTATATATGCTACATCTAAACATGGAACAAATTCTTGGTCTTATTAGCAAAAAGTTTGTTTTGTGGGATATTAAGTAACTCACTAAATCCAATTACTACTCTCGGTGTGTATTTCTAGTATTTCTGATTCCTGAGCAACATCAAAGATGTTCCACAAAACTTATCCTCATTTCTCTATAATGTTGGCAGATGCTCCGTGCTCACTCAGTCTCTGCCAAGGAAACTTGATTACATAATGTGGGCTTAGGAACTCAGATGAGGCGAAAGTCCTTCTAATAGTGGAGAGCTGCTTCCAGCCTTTGCAAGATCCTACATTTTATATTCCTTTAAGGGTGTACATTTTGATGTTGAAGTCAGTTTTCATATAGATTCAGGATTCACAAACAGTAATATAATAGTATCAGAAGCAGGAACAGTGGCCACATGCAACCATTCTGTCGAATATACAACTTAGCCCTGATAGTATTCTTAAGACCTGAATAACTTTTCTAGTAAAATAGAATGTGTTGAAATGTTTACATGGACTTGGATCTCTGCATCCCTTATAACTTATGTGTTTTATTTCCCTGAGTGCAATGTTCCTGAATGTTACATATGCTTTTTTTCAGTACTTCAGGCCTTAGCCATACATGGGGCCAGATGTTTTGCACTTTGGAATGTTGCCTTTGCCTAATGTAAGTTGACTTTCTGAATTGTGGAGAGGCACTCTTCCAAGCCAGTCCTGTTTGTCCCTTTATGTTGGAATGGTTTGCTCTCTGACAGGAAAGAAAGAACTAAAAGCTTGATGTCCCCCAGCCCAATCCTGCACCATTTGCCCCATTTTCATGGTCTATTCCATGAAATGTATTTTAAAAGGTAAAAACGTCTTCTATCATACATTTACAAAATATCTGTGCACCCAAAACAAAAAGTAGGAGAATCAGCTGAGGTAAATTTGATCTTCAAAGGAGAGGGAAACATGTGAAAGAAAAAATTAGGAAGTGACAGATTGTTCTAGCCACCAACTGAGACCAAGGAGGTTGCTACTCCTTTTTGTTGTTTTTCTAATTGAATTGTCAAAGGTTTTACAATCCAAGAGGGTTTCCTGTTGTGCCAGCAGATTTTTCTAAGTTGATGCTGTGAGCATTGAACCCCACTGAATTTCTCTTTTCTAGTGAGAAGTCTGCAAATTAAAGGAAGGGGAATGGTAGAAAATACTTCCCTGTAGGCTCGGCTGATTTTGAAGTGTGCCCTTGAATATCCCTATTGGCAACTGAGATCGTAGGAAGCATAATGGGTGCGAGATCTAGCAAAGGATTTTGAATCTTCACTCCCTACCAGACTTTTCCTATTTTTAAAGCTCTTCACCCTAGAACCAGCCGTATGGAAAGCTTTTAAGGAAAACTCCAAAGCACATTGTATCATTTCTACCTTGTGCTACACATGGAAGATATCCAGAAATGGATGCTTCTGGAACCTATTGAACATCTTTTTATTGTTGTCCATTTTTTAAAAGTGGATGTTGCTGCTGGAAACACACACTTAAAAAAGAGTGTTCTTGGGCATTAAGAGGTGGACTAAGAAGTGTGTTATGGGCAATGACTTGAAGTTACTTTTAAATTGTAGGAAGGAATTGTTATGAGTTTAATAATTTTTTGGTTGGGTTGGGTTTTTTATTTTTTATTATTATTTGTAAGACTTATGGGAGATGTTTGCAATTTCAGATCTAGTAGCTACTTTAGGTACAACTTTGGACCTCAGACTTTATAATGTTCCTGAAGACATCAAGGAAATACACAAAAAGGTATTAAAGATGTATCGATAGACTGGAAAAGAAAGGACACTGTGAGAAAACCCTGACATTGATCATTCTGACTGTTTCACACCCAACCTCATCCCCTTCTCCCTCCAATAGTCTGGAGTGTGAGACACAGAGGGCTGAGGGGTTGGTTTGTGGATCGAGTTCAAATTTAGGGAAATGCAAACATAAAGCAGGCCATTGATGAAATTAAATACAAATTTGAAAAAGGCTTTCACAGTCCGTGGAGTTCAAGTGGCTTGGGTAACAGACGTCATTCTTAGCTCACTTGTTATATGGAAGTGATTTGCCTGTCCCTTTCCTATCCAGAAGCCTGTCAGAAAGCATTCTTCAGTGAAAACCACTTTACCTTGTTGTTAAACTCCTGATCACTGCTCTTAAGAATATATATAAATATATATGTAGTCATGGGGACAGTTTTCCCCACAGTATTTGTATGATTTGCTTATTGTTATTGTGCTGAGTGATCTCCTTTGTGCTTCAGAAAAAAATAAATGAGATTTTGTGTTTACGTTATTTTTTGTTGTTGTGGGTTCTCTCTGTTCTATTTTTGTTGTGAGTTCTATCGGTCCTGATAGAAAAAGGTTACTCTTATAATACRTTTTTCTCTTTTTAGCTTGGATTTAAAAAATGAGAATAGAATATTTAGCTGTGGGCCAACATATGTCTTCCATCCTATGGATAATTCATATATACAACTTTTGAAAATTGAACTTTAATGTTCATCCCTTTAGAATCAGATTGCTGTTGCTTTTGATATCAGCATAGCTTATTTTTCATATTTCAAAGTCACAACCCAGAGTAAGAAAGCTACTTTTTTGCTTAAGTCAAGAAGCAGTGCACAAATATGTATATGATTATATATTTAAAACAAATTTTTAAATATGTGGTGCCCTGGTCTATTTTCAGTACTTTTTATTCTATTTAATTTTATTTTGTTCTTCTTCTTTGTMTTCTTCTTCTTTTTTAATGCTGATGGTGACTCTCCAAACTGGTTTCTTGAACCTCCAATGAATCACTACATGCAGCTTTTTGGAAGCAGTGTTCCAATGTCTTTCAAGCTATATTTGAGTCTAAGCAATGGCATGGCCTCATTGGGTGGTAGACAAATCACTTTCAGTTTCAATGGCTTCATATTTTCCTCTGTGACATTGGGATAACATGAGTGCTTGTCTTTGGATCATGAGGATTAAATAAAATGTCACATAGACAGCACTTAAGATAGCACCTGACCCAGTCACAGAGAGTGCTTGCTATTTGGTAGATCTTAAAAAATGAATGTAGACCAAAGAGAAGCAAACATACTTTAAGGATTAATTTTTAAAAATATTTTTTTAGTTGTAGACAGACACGATACCTTTATTTTACTTATTGTTTTTATGTGGTGCTGAGGATGGAACCCAGTGCCTCCACATGCTAGGCGAACACTGTACAAACTGAGCTACAGTCCCAGAAATATTTTTATCACCTTATTTTTTTATATAGATCAAACAACATTAAGGATCTCCTTATAAATAAAAACGTCTGTAAATGCCTTTTCAAGTCTYTTATATGTTCATTATTTTTTATTTGTAACGTGAAGTATATAATTGTAGATTTGTTCTATAAATCGACTCCTGGCTGAGCAACTTTCAACAAGTCCCCTGGTGCCTTTGGTGACCCAGCTTTCTCCCTTTTCCTTGCTTGTCATTTTCGGAATAACTACTGWGAATGTAGAAAGCGTAAGCAATGCAACACTTGAGAATAAGGAGGAGCAGCCCAAGCTGTTCCATCTGTTGTACATTAAGATTTCCTGCAATGCTCTACCCCAGTGAGTCCACTTCCCTCAGTCATAAAGCCCAGAGCACAGTATGATCTTGAGGTCCTTTAGCTGTGGTGCAATGTGGGCCTAATGCACACAAGACTCCATTTGCCCTGGGCAGCTTTCCTGAGCCTTGGGGGACTAGCTTACCTCAAATTCTAAGAATCTGTTTTTCTTTGTTACCTATCTGTGAGTAGTTAAAGTGGCTGCATTTAACTTGTGTGATTGTTTATTTCTCACCA